AGAAATTAGGCTAGGTTTTAGCTAACATGATACGCTACGCGTATCGCACCTACGAGCACCTTATATTATTTCCACTTCACACAAAACATCTTTAACAAAAGCGAAAATTTATTATTATTTGCGAGACTTAAAATAATAACAGACCAGTACGTAAATTTAAAACTTTCTTGTTTATTGAAACATCTAAAACTAAAGTCATGTGATTCTAGCAGACGTCGCAAAAATAAACAAGAGAATTGGATAACAAGCTGGTCAATTGGTTCATTCACTTTATCATTCTTTTTATTAAGTTCACACAAAGCTTGTTAATTTTACTCATAAACAAACTAATGTAGACAAAGAGTGACCGAAAGTGTTTTGTTTAAGCCAAAACTTTTTTTAAACCTTTTTTATACCATTACAGCTTAACACTCGTTCGATAGAAAATAAAAAATAACACAAACTGGCACGAGAAAATCCGGTAGACCGAGGCTGCGTTAGTGGAATGGGGTTGCCAAAGACCTCAAAAGAATAGGTGTTCAAAGTTGGACGCAAGAAGCATGAAATAGATTGCGACGTCGAAAGGCACTTGCGGAGGCTAAGCCCCACAAAGGGCTGTACATCCATTGATGATGATGAAACCTTCCCATAAGAAATAATAGCAATGCCACTAATGAATTCAGTCAGTTTTTACCGCAACATTAAGTGTGTGCAATGCACGCGTAAGTGGTGAATAGGAGCAGTATACAAAATAGAAGATTGAGCAGTGTTGGCCTAGTGGCTTCAGCGTGCGATTCTCATCCCTGAGGACTTTCTTTGCGCATTGGCTCGTAGAAAAACATCGTGAGGAAACCGGCTTGCCTTAGACCCAAAAAAATCAAACGCCCAAGTTTTTAATTAAGCAGTGACTAACTGATATAGTTATACTAATTACGTTTAAATGAGAATATTTAACACAAAACAGATAACGAGTGGGTTAAACTAATACGTAACCATTATAACGTACTCATTTACTTTTTTGTAATATTAGGTCCTTACATATGAAATTGGCGTTTTGTATGGGAGGAACAAAAGGTCGAATATTTTTAAATATAATATATTTAATTAATCAAAGTATGAACCATTGTTTTCTATGCACTTTTGCCATCTCATAGGTAGTTCATTGATCCCTTTACTAAAAAAACTAGTCGGATGGGAATCAATAAAATCTGTGAAGGCGATTTGGACTGCCCCATCAGAGTTAAATTTTTTCCCTTGCAAGAAGTTGTCCAAATTTCGAAAAAAATGGTAATCTGTTGGAGCCAGGTCCGGGGAGTACGGAGGATGTCTTAGACATTCCAATTGAAGCTCTTCTAATTTGGTAGCCGTCTGTTGTGCAGTGTATTGTCTAGCGTTGTCGTGAAGTAGCAGTGGCGTGGAGCGATTGACCAGCCTAGGTTGTTTAGCCGTTAGCTTTTCCATCATGGTTTGCAATTGCTGACAATAGACATCAGCCGTAATAGTCTGGCCAGATTTGAGAAAACTGCAATGAACAATACCGGCACTAGTCCACCAAACGCTTACAAGTAACTTTTTTGGGGTTAATTTTTGCTTGGGGCAGGATTTGGCTGGCTAGCCAGGATCCAACCATTGCACTAAGCGCTTCCGATTATCGTAAAGAATGCATTTTTCATAACAGGTAATGATTCGGTTTAAAATACCTTCATTATTGTGCCGGTTCAGTAATGTAACGCAGCAGTCGACGCGCATTTGCCGGTTTGCTTCAGTCAATTCGTGAGGTACCCATCTTTCAAGCTTTTTAATCTTCCCAATTTGCTTCAAGTGAATTAAAACAATTTTATCACTAACACCGCAGCCTGCAGCTAACTCGGAAGTGGTTTGCGATGGATCCGCTTCCACAATACCCTTCAATACTTCATTATCAACTTGGGTCTCAGGCCGTCCACGGGGCTTGTTCTGCAGGTCGAAATTTCCAGAACGAAAACGTTGGAACCAAAAACGAATTTGGAATTCCTTACCAAAGAGGAGAACATCGTGATTAAAGTGGCCAGTACGAAGTACGCCAATTTCATATGTAAGGACCTAATATTAACAGCCGATATGGACAAAAAATTTAAATAAATAACCATCGCATAATTTCTTATAGTTGTACCTACATAAATAAAATAGCGCTGAAATATAATCCATGGTTAGTAATAATGTAAAATAGATTATCTTGGATACACGTTTACAGGTATCAAAGTTAATGAAATAAACAATTTGGTATTTAATTTATACATAAAATATTTAATCTATGTATAAAAGGTGTCACAAATCGATTACCAATTCGATATGTTATAAAAAAGGTAATAATGTGCTTCTAATACTCACACTTAAAAAATTATAGTACCTTAAATAATTTACGAACAAAGCACGTCGAATTCCACCATATTTGAATTCTCACAGAAACTAGTCTATAATTTATTGTCTTTATAGATAAGTTCAAGTACGTTAGTTGTTGTTCACAATAGGCAACATCATGCAAGTAATATCTATGTAATACAATATCAATAATATGTATGCTTATGTACATCTTGAAAGTGGGTTAATACTTCACTATTAATCAGAGAAAATATAGATCAAACATATTAAGAGTATGTAATGGTGTAAACATACCATTTACGCGTAGTTTGCGCTTAAAACAACACTTCCAAAACTTCATTTTGATTTAGTGGACGCACGCGCCGACTCAAGTGGTCATACACAACTGTCCGAATGAGGACGAAACAATGAGTTTTGTTTACAATTGATGCGGACTTAGTGCACACACCCCGTATTCACTGGGTAATCGGAAAGCGTAGGTGTCGTGTTCTGTACCCTAATTTACTTCGCCAATATAGGGAATATGTCATATCTATTTACATTCTCACCAACGCGTGTGAATTTTCTTAGGAGTCCAAACTGTACCCCCTCTGCAAGGCCCTGTCTATACACATATAACCAAAGCTTGAGAAACAACTGAACAGATTCTTTCACGGTGACGAAGTCACACTATCTAGAATTACATAGATCGCAAATTTGTGTGAAATAAAACAAAAAAGTTTAAAAATCAACCATATGCAATTCAATGTTAAATCATCGGAAATCGAGGTAGTCGATTTTCGTGTCAATAAGCATGAGTTTCAATTACGAATAATTCATATTTAGTGAATGTTATAAATAGTGTTCAAAATTTATCTTTCAATCATAATTTCCTTCCTACCTTCATCGTTTTTGTTAAGAAATTTTATAAACCTAAGTCCCGGATACCACGATGCGGCATGGATATATTATACGTAAATAATTTGCGTTTTTATTTTTCAAGTTCTGTGGACAACATTCACCATTATTAAGTCATAAAACAATATGTTTGAAAAATAAAATACGAGGAAAATGAAGTTACAAAACAAAAGTTTCGATGTAAAAATTGAAAATAAAATCAAGGAACAAACAAATGCAAGTCGTTTTAAACAGTTTAAGCCTCATGAGGTAATTATGAGCATTAAAAAAATTATGAACAATAAAGGTTCAATTGACCACTTAACCAGTAGTCTAAAACCGTAATATCACACTAGTATTAATAAAAGAAAGTGTAGTAGTGTAAAAAAGTTTATTCTCTATCACAATGTATTCCTACAGTTAAAAAATTTGGAACATATGCCGAATATTCTAAACGATCCGAAGCTTGACTTTAAAACAATTCGAAATTATAAAACACTCTGTAAACTTTTCTAGCGCCCACAAATTATTGTCCGAATAAGGACATGCTTCGAATCACTGACACTATAAAAATATACGAGTAAGCATATTCTCTAGGCACATTTCTGTACTTTCTACATTACTGAATGGTTACACACTAATTCTAACTTAGTTTTAACTTAGATCGAAGAAGAGATTTCAAACTCAAAATATATTCATTCGACATTACTCAGTATTGAGTATACATTTTTTTAAATAAGCATGTTTACAAATATTAATAATATAACTAAAATATTTTTTATAGGTGGTATATTCTTCAATTCATTTAATAAACATGATTTCATTGATTTTGAAAGATACATTTTTAAATTTTAAACCTAAATGTAATTTGTTACTACTCTGAGGCAATATATAATTTATTTTTTCTTCTTGCCCTGTACTGTTTTTTATTATTTTAATTTATTGCAATCATATATTACTTATTTGTGCATTAGCTGCAAGGAGTATTTCATAAAAATTTTCGCGATTTGTTATAAAAGCAGTTTCCCAATTGATATGTATACATCGAAAAATATTAAAACCTCAACATTGATTTTAATTAAATAAACTAATTCGAGTATGAAGGCACTGCTTTCATTAACTGAATACGTTTTGTGATGATTTAAATTAAAAAATATAGAAATTGTTAAAATACACTTAGATATCCTAAAAAACACAATGAGCACTCTCACTTTGATAATAAAAGAAGAATAGGCTTTTTAAAGAAAAATATATTTTGGTTTATAAATTCTAAAATATATAAAATTGCTTTTCAATAATCATTCCGAAAGAGTACGTGCCTACTCCTCTTAATTATCTTAAAATAAACTACATAGCTACAGCTAAATTGATTGTGTAAATACGATTAATATTATTCTTAAAAATTATTGTAAAATCCGTTCTCAACCAATACTGAAAAGGTCTATCTTTGCTGACTTATTGCCCGGTTACAAGTAAGTACGTACCTATAAAAATGTTTATGAACGCAGGCACAGGCCCCCTCATGAAATTATAAAATGTCAGTTTGACATTGCACCATTTGCGAATGTTCTATATTCAAATTTAACGAATATTTTGTATCAAGACTAGATTAATTAAGGCTTCACTTTATAATCTACTTTATTTGTAATGAGAACAAAAATGGAATCTGCATCTTTAATGTTCTGCGCATAAACATATTCATAAGACCAGTATGGGACCAAAGTAACTTATAAGTAAACTTTGTGCTTCCCATTAGTTGATTCCACAGATAATACATTATCCTGTCAATGTCTATACCAAGTGCCCTGTACTCGCGTTTGGAAATGTGATACAGGTGTCACTATAGCATAGGCTTGTTGTGGCTGTTGTACTACTGCGAGAGGAATTGTGTGCACTTGCTGTGACATTTCAACTGGCTGGCCATTATCTTCAGATACACCGAGTGGCTGTACACAGTGTTGTTGCGACACTTGTTGTACACCACCAACTTGTTGTGTTAAAACTTGCTGGTGTTGACTCACTTGCGGCACTAGCATTTGTTGCTGCATTTGCTGCTGTTGTTGAGACTGCTGCTGGTGTATCACAACATGCGGCTGACCTTGCATTTGCTGATGCTGAACTTGTACTTGTTGCACTTGCTGCTGCTGCTGTTGTTGTTGTTGTTGAACCTGTTGCTGTTGAGCTTGTTGTTGTGCGTGTTCTCTATCATGTTCTTCCTTTTTCTTAGCTTCCATAGCTGCTTTCTTAGCATCTGCTTTTTCTTTCTCTTGTTGTATTCTAAGAGGGTCCTTATTTTTATCGTACGTCATACATTTTCCGCTGCGGAATGGCACCATGTCTTTCGATAGTTCCTGCTTTTTCGTCGCGAACTTAACGTGAGGGAATTGATCTTTCATAAATGCGCGGAACGTTGAGTAGCCCATTAGTTTAACTCCAGGTTCAAGAATCTCTCCATACTCCTTGTAAGCTTCAAACAAATGTTTTCTAGAGTCACCTTGTATGATAACTGTCTTACTCCCCTTCTTGCCACTTTCGGCCGATGGTTGGACATCTTTAGGTGAACTTGCATGTTGTTTTAAATATTCTTTTAAGAAATTTGTCGCATGTTTATAAATATCCAACGTAAAGGTGTTGTAAGGCTTCTTGCCCACATTGCCGTGTATGCGAGGGGCTACTCCGTGCGTCATCACATGTTGTCGAATGCGTTTTAACTGATAGTGAGTAACATTTTCAAGGTACAGAAAAGCCTCCAGACATACCTTTCTCCCTTGGTATACATAACAGGCACGTAATCTCCTCCTAACTTTATGCCGTGACGTCTCTGCTGGGTTTGCAAGACTGGCCATAGTGATTCCCATCAAATACATGTCATGTTCACTTTTCGTCAATTCCGCGATATTAAGACGGTGCCGATACACAGCTTCAGGGTTGAGCCCGCGATAACAATTGTCTTTGCAATCACAACCTCTCCTCAGCCTTTCCTTCACCTGCAAATTAAAACAATATAGTTTAATTATTATATTTAGCAGTACTGTAAATTACAAATATTATATAAGACAGATATGTCAGAGCTAACACTGTAACTCACATCTTTTAATATCAGAATGTTTGTTTTTAAACAAAAGATGTAGGTATTAGAAACTTTAACAAAAGCTTCCAAGTAAATATTTTGGTACATCTAAATTTATATTATCAAATGTCTCATCCTGTGTATTGATGCAGGATATTATCTACTATTATGAAATTTATGTAGATAAATTCATTTTTATATGCTTTTATAACTTTACAACATAATAAAAACAATTCATAAATGTGGTTTTTAATTATAACCTTAAATATTTAAATATGCAATTTCAAAGGCTAAGTGATATTTGTGTATTAGCTAGATTTTTGACCATATAATAATTCATTTAAATATCAGCTGGGTAAAGTGTTAGTTGTATAAATAAAATGTTATGTTAAAAATAAAATATTATAGAGAAAATATAAATTGCTACAAATCAAGCAACGGAAAATTATATCAAAGGCAACTACAGCAGTCAGGATGAATAAATCATCTACAAAAATATGGGCCTATATATGGTTACAGGATATGATTAAACTGACTAAATAATTTAAATCCAGAATATGGTCTATTATTATGTAGTTCAATATGAATCTACATACTTGATGTGTCAAATGCTTTGTAGCACTTTAAACAGCTAGAGAGATAATGTTTACATTATGTTTTAACTGTTTTAGCAGAGTTAATAAAAATGGTTGACATACTTCTATAGCATATATATTTTATAGCATCAATAGATACTATTAACTAGTGATACATATTTGGTCTGCTTATCATCTTTCTCTACCAAACAGGTTAAAAGTCTCTCATCTCTTTTAAATAAATATAAAAAGGTTCCATGGTTATGACCCGTAGGTCCACCATTGTTAAATAAATGTCACTGTAAGGCACCAATTATTACCTGTTCAGGATTGTCCTCTAAAGAATTTCCAAGTACTTCATCATCACTATCAGACTCTGCTACTTTCTTCTTTCTTTTGATACCAGCTTTTTTCTCCATTTTAGGTTTTGTTTCCACATCCATCTCTTGGTTCTCAACATTAGCCTCAAACTCTATACTATATTGTGTCTGCATGCCTTGGAGATTGCCATCACCATTCTCTACTTGTATTGTATGGCCTTGCCATAATACCTGTAATTTTTATCCTAAAGTCAGCAAATGAAATCAGCTTAAAGTACATATATGTACGTTAAATGTGCGGGCCTATAACTCTCTGAACCTTCCATGTATAACAGGTAGTATAAAAGCAATTGCCACACAAAAATATTAAATATTCTCCAGGATTTTACTGGGATACATACCTGTTCTTGGTGCCCATTATAGCTATGTTGTTGCATATTTTGCGAGCCACCAAGTTCAAATACTGAATGTTGTCCCATTACTGGTGTATGCCACTGAGCACTTTCACCATATTCACCTCCCCCGTTCTGGTCGGATGGTATTGATACGATGATTGCTTCTTTACTGTCAACACTACGGCGCTCCACTGATAACAGTGAATGCAGAACTTCGCTCGCCTCCTTTTCAGCTGGATTAACTACTTCCATTTTCTCAAATGACATCGAAACGCCGACTCTAAACTACAACCAAACTCTCATGTCAAATCACATGTACATATGTACATACGTGTATGTACATTGTATTACAATGGCCATTGAACGAACTACAAACCCGCCCCAACCGCATCATGATCTTACAACCCCGTAATTATTTCAAGAAAACCGCGATAACTTTTCAAATTCATGTAAATAAACATAACAAAAACCGTGCAATTATTAACCTTAATCGCGTTTTTTAAGTTTCATTATCGCATAGCGGATCGAACTCCTGTGGAATATTGGGCCATATAGTCATAGCAAAGGAAGGACAAAACTTACCTTTTTTACGCGATATCAAGATGTGAGAAACGTATAAATGAATCCCACGTATCAGTAAACGTTTGAGGATTGTTTTATATCACTTCATTTTGATATTATAGTCATAATTTTAGAGAAATGCACAAATCTTTCACTGAATTCACGGAAGCAATATGGCGATACACTTTCCGTGAATAAAATCTGAGGACGCCGTAGAACACGTCATTAGTACAGTGCGCGGCCGCAAGGCGGCGCTGGTGCCTGGTATCGCTGTTTCCGTATCGATATTCGACGCCGCGCAGCTGTCTCACTTTAGTGCGGGAGATTCAATTTTACTCCAAGGAAATAATTAAATGTTTTGAAGGAGTTTTGTTTGTTTGTAGTTACGAATAAATCACTTTAGACTTTGATTATATCTAATCAATGTTCAAAACACAATAAGCATAAAGAACAACGTTATTGTACGTGCAATGTAGAAGATGTCGCGTATATGAAATATGTACATATAGTTTTACACAGTAAAAGAAAAATTTATATTATATACATATTAAACATTTAACTTACGGTGGATGAACGAGAAATTACTTTTTCGATTATTCCAACACACAAATACATCTACAGTATTTACAATTCTCTTAATCTACATATGTAGTAATAATAATAATTTAAATTAAATTAAATCACATTTACAATATGTATATATGTACGTGTATGTACATAAAATTAAATTAAAATAAATTTAATCCTTTTTCGATTAAAATCTCAACATTCTTATTTCCGTAATAGTGATTTAACTGCGAGGGTCCGCATTAGCGTGGAACCGAAGCGACCATTCAACTTCCCCACATAATGCCGTGGTCGGTGACCACCCGGTGTCTGGCTGTTATCTTTATATTCCAACGATAAAATAAAATAATAATTTACTCACTAATAAATTAAAGGAAAATATACACGAATATATGACCTTTAAAATGTAAAAAATCCAAAGTTTTTGCTAGTTGTTTTTTTTTAAATAATATTACTCTCGAAGGCTAGACACACTATGCCTTTACCTCTCAACCAGTTTTAATAGACTAATACGGACATTTTCAGGCAAATTAAGGTTAATAGAGACATTAAATAATTAAAATAACAAAGTATTTTTAACTCAATAGTATTATAAAATTATTTTATGATTAATAAATATGTACCTGAGCACATATTTATTAATTAAAATTAGATGAAAACAATCTCATGTTTAAGTGTTATAAAGATTTCTCGTTTAACGCTGAACTTATTTAGATGAAGTTTGCTTAAATCCAATCGACTCTGGTTTAATTTAACAGTTGTGACGTCGCAGCTCGCAGAGCATTAAAAATTTATAAGTATAGATTTTAATCTTATTTAAATATGTTACGTATATGTTTATCAACACTCTGCGTTATAGAAAATATTTTCGTGACACGTTTTTTTCTTTTTTATCACTAGGCGTTTCAGCGCGAAATATCATACAAAAATAAGTAATTTAAATGTATTAAGAATTTATCGACTTTTTAGTCGTGGCAGATTTAAATATGTTACGTATTGATAATAAACACGAATGGTTTTGTTCCGTCTTCACCACGGTCTTCGACTTGGCTGTAATAAATAACTTATCAATATCTGGTACTTACTGTGTATTCTATATTTAAAACTTAGTAAAGATACACGTAATAGGAACTTATTTAAATAATTTATTACTCGTTCGTTATCGACTGATTACGCTCATATTAGTTAAATGAAAAAAATTTAAACATTTAAGTAAATAGCTGGGTTCTTAGATATGTATACGTACCAACAGGAGAATCTAAGGTGAAGCAGCTACTGCGTGATTTAACTACTCCACCTGGCAATGGCCCGTCAGGCCACTCCATCCGTTCTTCCATTGCCTTCGAAGCACTTTTTTTAAATTGTTCTAAGAAACTGTCTATTTGCGTCTCAATACTTGTTGGGGAGTTGGCCATCGTTACCACCGAAACACCGCAAACAAACAACACTGTTTTCTGATTATGACATTTTGGTATTAATATCGACTGAGTATTTTTTGTACTTAAGAATTTTAATACGAAACACGCCGTCGAAAATCGGTATCGGACACTTGTAAGTCGAATTCATTTTTCCTTTTTCAAATTTTAAAATTAAAACGCAAGTCTATTTGAAGCGCGACTTATTTTACTACGGATACCGTTATGCTGCACGAAGCATCTAAAATAAAGCGACACTCACCGACATCTATCGATCGCTATGAACACTGAACAGCTGTAGATGTGTTGCCATTGTATGTGCAATGACGTTGCTAGTAACAAAATATAAAGCCAATAAAAACGTTAATAACATAACACTGCAATTGAATATTAGTTGGTGCACAACAATATTGTCTTTATGTTTCTATCATTTTTTATAGATAATTGAACCCAAATTAAATAGTGTTGCATTTGACATGCGTGTATCGAAACGCACGCCTCTGCCAGTCGTAAGAATATCGTGCTCGCTCGGCGCTTCATGGTTGGTTACGATTTGAGTTATCGTAGATCGTGCATGTAGTACGCATTTGCTACTTGCCGGCATAACTCGACGAGTGCGTTTATTTTGTGATAAATAGAGGTGACTGGAACTGTCACCCGAGAAGCCGGCTAAAAAATGACAAGTACGTACTATATTTAATACACAATTTGATCAAGAACTTTAAACGTAGATGTATGTAAAAATACTTTCAATATTATTAAAGATATTTAAACAATTATTTAATTTTGGTACATGAAGGTAGTCAAACTTCTACAGACTTACTTTCTAACGATAAAACATACCTTCTCATTTATCACTATACATTTAATAAGGTGCAAATTAAATGATAATATATTTAAATTAAGAGATTAATCAGACTGACTTATATATGACAATACTCTAATATTAATTATGCTTACTTAACAAAACTAATTTTATTCTGTTTTTGATATTGTCGATGATTAAAATGACACTTCTAAAGCGAAAAAAAAAAATGTTTTAATCAAAGACGCGCACTTACGATAAAGGTCAAACGTTTGAAGGTCCCATGTTCCTTGTTACGCAATGGGAAATAGGAATCTGGTGTGTAATTAGTTCTTTGTGAGTTAAGATTTATGGCCTTATATTATGTCCCGTAAAATTATTGTTTTAAATTTATGAACTTCGAATTTAGGCACATTTTAAAGAGAAAGATTCTAATTAAGAACTTACTTTGTCATTTCAAATCAAAGCCATAAATGGACAAAATAATCCAAATAAAATTGAAAAATTTTGTTACATAATTAAAACTCGTTTACATATTTAAATAACTTATTTCGAATTTATAATTAGACCACTTCGTTGTTTAGTGTGTGTGCATTATAAAAGATATTTAAAAAAAAATACTTTAATTATCTTTGATTAAAGTAAGCATGTTCGAGGGTTGAGGTTACACACCAACTGTCTATCCAACTCTCTCGGTACTTCTTTAAGAGGAAGAATAAATTGAAAAAGTTAACAAATATTAGTATTTGTGACGCGGCAACTTTTTTAGCCACAGACTATATGAAACCTTGTCTGATATTTATTAGCCTCTTCAATCAACGCATTTGAGTCACTTTGTATTAAACTGCCAATTGTTGAAAATAGGTTATTAATAATGTTACAATGAATAAAATTTAAAATGATGAAAAAATTTATGAAATATATGACTTATTTTTTGCACTGATTTGTCTCTTAGCATATCCTCCACAATTTCTAGTCTTAAATCCAAAATATAAACATTCTATGATAATATTAAAAATGAAAATAGCAGAAGAAACCCGATTAAAAATAATTCAGTGCCATTATGACACCTGGATCTGTTTTAGTATTGTTACGATACGCTTATGACGGAACGGACTAAGAAATGTCCTTTATAACGAAACAATATTTGCCTTCATATAAATTCTTTATGAATTAAAAATATGATGTAAAACATCTCAAGATCAAGGCATATGAATTGATATTATGAATTTATGATAATGCTTGTACGTATTTATAGCATTGGCATGTTTACAATCGTAATAATACAATCTGATAAGAACATGCGTAAGCGCAATTCAGTGTAAGTAATTTTCAATACAACAATTTTACATGTGGAAAGTGTTAGGCTAATCCTAAGCGTGCGGTTCTCAAGCCTAACAGCGTTCGGTTCGACATCGAATGCAACAAAGAATTTATTTTTTATCGTATATATGCAATAACTCGCTTAACTGTGGTGCTATGCCCTTGATCGCTCTTCCAATAGCGATACTGACAGCAGTGGCGTAACTATACCATCTGGGGCCCTAGCAAACTCTTTTGATGGAGCCCATCAGTAAAAATCGTCACGTTGTACTCATCTGAGTCATTCGAAGTTTAGTATTATCTTTTATTGACATAACTTTAGACATAGAAAAACATTTTTTTAACGGATTTGAAGTTTATTAAAATTAATAAACTTCGAGATTTTCAGCGTACTCAATGAAACGTTGTATATGTCCCACTAAAGGCCATAGTCCTCCTCTCTTAGGCGAGAGTAAATGTTCTGTAGTCCCAACGCTAGCCCAATAATACCTTTGGGCAGGGGCCCTATTGGGTCGGGGGCCCGTGGAATATCGCCAGCCCTGCCACCTTATTGTTACGCCACTGACTGACAGCCATCTCAATAATGAGTTTGATTTAAATCTACATCAAATATGCATACCACGGAATCGGCGACACTGTCTCTATTCTTTTCCGTTCTACGCCCTTGATTTATGCAAATTAATTTTAAAATAATAATTAAAAATTGATAAATAGAAAATTACGTGCACAAGCGCTTATTAAATTTAAATTCTGGTGACCTCAGAGCTGGTGCTTTTCTCGCTCAACGAATAAGTATGTCAATACAGCGAGGAAATTCTGCCAGCATTAAATATTATTATTATTACCACGTAGGTTAATAATATGTAAATACTGTATCTTTTAAATTAATTATTTCTAGGTTTTAAAAACAATATATGCTTTAAAATGTATATTTATTGTCAGATCTCAAATCAAGGGCGTAGAACGGAAGATAAGAACTGGCCATAAAATCTCCGTTACTGAAATCCCCAGGTCTATTTTAAAATATATTCGCTGCAATCTTATCATGCTCTTTATGACATCTTGGAATAATTATTTATAAATACAAATAAATAAGAAAAACAAAATTAACGTCTGCTTGAAAATAACACGATCAATGCTTTTACTTCCCAATCAAAATGACTTCTGAAGTATCTGTTCCATCATATTTAACTGCATTTCAAAGTTCAAATAACATCCCGTTGCCATGGTAACTGATAAAACAAAAGAATTAAGCATTCATTGGTTTATTTAGTTCAGCTCGCTTAACTCCTACCAGACCGGCTGTACCTAAATAGAAAAGGACATTGCACCCGACCGATCCTGCTTCTTAAGTGTCTTATTGGAATACTATTCTTAACCCGGCCGAAAGGATATTCTGTTATTTAGAATGTAGAGGGAGGTGTGTCTTCGTTATGTATAACTTTGTAATTTTTAGTTATAGACAAATATTTGTAAGGAAATTAGGAATGCAGACTATACATTTATTTGTCATTTTTCTCTATACAAACAAGATCCTATAGATTTTGAACATACCAAGATTTTTTCAATGGATTACGACTACGGCAAGGTACATACATAGTATATACGCTTTAGTATATACCTTACGCAAAGTCTTTTCATCCGCGGAATTGTCTGGTTATTAACGCGAAAATTTGAGATATTTAAAGATAAGCAGATAAGAGATATGGTTATACTAGTTAAGATAACATTTTATTTTCTTCCAAAGGTTTTTTACAGTATTATAAATCACCTATTTCTTTTAAATTTTATATTCGTCTCGACTCTTGGTTTAATGGTTGCTTGTTTTCTTAACAAAATTAAGCGCCAGACACACAAATGAAACGTTTTTCTATCCCGTCTATGATAAAACTCATTCAAACCAAAAAGCCGTATATTCACTTTCTTATAATTGCATTGTCATAATTCTCATTTTTGATATTTATCTTTTATTGATACTTAATAGCGACTTATTTACATACGTTTAATATCGATTAGATGTTTATTTAATAACAAGTTCTCTTTTCAAGATAGCGTATTTTTCGACTCATATAAATTTTTTTTTTTTATTGATAAAGCTTGCCAACGCTCGATACACTGATACATTGGTAAAAGAATCACAATATACAATTTAAATTGCAACAAGCACTTATAGGCAAACATGACATACACGAAGAGATAATACAAATATTAAATAAAACTAATTGTTTAAAAAAAACAATTTTAAAGTGTGAGGGGGGCAACTATGGATATCCAGACCTGGTAATCACACTAAAGTAAACATTTTGCAATCTTTAATCTTCCATCTTTAAATTTACAGTGTTTTCGTAGGGATTTAACTTTCCATTTACACTGAATACATTATTAATGTAAAGAAATCTTTAACGAATATAATTGCTAATTTAGATTCAACCCACTACCAAAATCACACTTACCTAAAGATATTTAAACTATTATTATTATAATTTTTATTTATTTTTAAACTATTATTCGGATAAATTCCATCTTTGAACAAATTAATTATTTAATGAGGGAGAAATACGAAACCTGGACTGAAGCGCGGCGAACCACGTTGATGCATCGGTCTGTTTTTTATTAATATATTTGAAAAAAGGAGAAGAAAAAAACGCCAAATCAGCTACATTTCATAAAATTTCATTTCATATTCTTAGATGTTACTTTGGTGAGTAGTAAGTGATGAGGCTAAATCAGGTAAACACTCGACATCAGCTGCGCCAGAAAGCAATTTTCAGTTGTTCCTCTAAATTGTGGAAATTTAAACGTAGGTTGTATCCGCTACATTTTCATATGTCAATAAAAAGAAAAAACTTATAATAAATAAAAATGGGACTAGTGTGTGATTCGAATAAAATATTTTTCTTAACGGTATTTCCATATTGAATATTTATATTGAGTTATCTACTATTGATATTAGAGAATGTTATCATAGAAATAGTACTTGTCTATGGTGCGTAGTAAATATAGCAGATGGCCAGTTGCCTATAGAAATCTAAAATTGTTAATTGTCAAAATACACAAAGCATTATCGATCGAATAAATGTAATCAATTGACAATTCAATATAATAACATATTTAGGTCCAGGAAATATTGTAATATAGTTCTCATTACGTACACGTACAAAACGATATTTTGTCATCTTTATAGAATAACATATATTATATAACATAGGCAAGCACTTGGTCCCCTCCGATTGCGATTAAAGGCATCTTTATATTTAAACATAGATTTAAGTAACAATATTCTTCTTTATTATTAATTAGACCTCGTTTTAATATAGTTATCTCTTTAAACAATAAATACCTTTTTAATACTCCAGTCACAATTTCTTAAATCGTATTTTATTAAAATCTCGCGTGAAATTTTGTATCAGTTGCATATCCTACAAATTATCTGACGTCACAACTAGTTTTATTTGAAAATTTATTTCTGTCGCGCTATTTTAGAATTGAAAGCGGAATGTATGTACTGTATAATGTGTCTAGGGAACTTGGAGCCATGTATAGGCCCACGCGACACATAATTCATAGTGCAGCTAATACAGAATTCTAGTAGCAAAGCAGTCTTAGAGAACATTCTTTCGTTATTATATATTTTATTTTATTTAGGTATCGCATTTAGTTCAAGCATTGACTCGCGATTTTTGGGCGCAATTTTGGTTTGAAGAATGTAAATAAATATTTGTTTAGAACATTGTTTCCCAACATTTTTGTCCCCACCTTTCTAAAATTCTTATGTAACATGCATAATTTTTAATATTAAAATATAGAATTGTTCACTTAAGTTACTTAAATTGTAGGTTTGAGGAAAATACGACGAAATTGTTATCGAAACAGGAAATAAAATATTAAAACAATCAAAAACTGAAATTCAAATTCCCAATAATTTTAATAAATTTTCGAATAGCGCCGCTTAACAACCAAATTGCCTCCTGTGGGGAGTGAGTCCCACGTTGGCAAACACTGTTTGAATGTATCTTCCAAATCATCAAAAACGAATTGTTTCCACTATTACCATTACTCACATATGAGAAAAGAAGATCTCCATTTTTAATAATTTCATTTTATTAAAAATTAAAAGTAAAATTAATCATTGACAAAGATACTTATATTTTTCACAAGTGTTAGTGCGTAGTACTGGCAAGACCGCATTGTGTTGCTGTATTATGTTCTCAATGGATTTAGGATTAGAAACGTAACAGAAGCGCCAAGACACGTGTTCATATTTTTAGTACGCTGGTGGTACGTCACCAGTGGGAGGGTATTGCGCATTTCCTTAGATATCTCACAAACTGAAAAACAACAGCAAATTTAATTTATTTTCCGGTATATCTACGTCGTTGGCATCGAATTAGAAATGACTTAGGGTTAGATTCATGGACGGTACTTAGCTCGAACTATGAATTCCGTATCTCAAAATCAAATACGATACGATGATACGATACGATGATTACCGAGTATACGATTTTACTCTACGTCTAAACTCTCAATCTTACTCTCTAAACTAATTCTAGGCTGTGAAATAAAGTTAAGAGGCCCAATTCTGAGTTCCCTGCACTATTACCACGACCAATCCCTTTCCGAGCTGCTTGATCCCTTGGCGAAGAGATGTGGGGTCTCTCTGCATCTTCCACCGCATTTGCCAGGCAGAGTGTTCAAAGTTGTTCGGATTATTACCGAATGATTTACGAAATATCTTCGTTCCAGAACTTAGCATTATTTAAGGCAGATTTTTCCGCGCACCACTATGTGGAACCAGCTGTCTACTGAAGTAATTCCAAACCAATTCGATTTAGGGCCCTTCAAGAAAATAACGTACCAATTTTTAATAGGCCGGCAACGCACTCGCGAGCCCGCTAGCATTGAGAGTGCCAGACCACCACTTAACATTAGATGTGCCTCCTGCTCATTTGCCCTGCCCATGTTCTACAAAAAAAAATATTTTCTTTGACCCAAAATTACACTTGAATATTATTAAACAACTGTATTTTTTTTCAGATCGAGCATGGGTTACGCTAGCCACAAACGACTCTTACGGCTTAGGAGCCCTCGTCCTGGCGCATTCGTTACGGCGAGTTGGCTCTGCCTATCCAGCCGTTGTACTCATCACACCTTCAGTAACCGACGCTATGAGGTAGGATTACAATTAAGTTGTACTTTAACCGACCGCAAATCCTTTTATAGTGTGCTACGTTCAAAAGTATGAACTCCAGGCCCCAATATATGGGGCTTTATAGTTAGCTAATACCCAAGATAATAATAAGCCATCATAATTTCAAACAATAACTAAACAATCATATTCATTGTGATCATCGAGTCGTCTAGTGAGTCGCGGACTTACTGAGGGCTTCGAGGTTGTTTGAAGTTGTGTTATATTCCCGGTTTACAATCAAATATTGAAGTTAACTAACATACATACTGTTTATACATATATAGCTGTAGGCCGCGGTTTTATAATGATAAGTTGTTCCTACTATTACAGAAAAATAATTATTGTTTACATATATGTACATATTAAATTATAGTGTAGTTGGTTATAGCAAATAGCCCTCAGAAGTGGACCTAGTATAACGTTTCAATTAACTTTAATGAGTCTTATGTGTGACTTAAACTACAATTGTAATATTTTTAGTATTTATTCACGGAACTTTTTTTACATCAGTGAACTAGTTAGAGCAAGTTAGTTGTTAAGTTTAAAACAGTGGTAAGTGGAAAACATAGAACACAAAAACCGTTTTCCCTTAATAGAGATAAGTAAGTGTTACTTACACTTATTAACTTATGTTTAGTTTAATGGTAAAATTAATTAGACTTTTATATTTATGTCTTAAGGTATTTTAGATTGTAATACCAAATACTAAAAAAGTGCGTGCGTACAAAGTAAACATGTCAGAAGTGAAACTTCTTTGGCAAACAAATTTTTAACTCTTCTTCATATATACTGCTCAAAACAATTACGGGAACAAGACTTTAAAGTAGAACTAAACTTTTTACTTAAGGTTTTAATTATTACTGGCCACTAGATAATGTTAAGGCATTGTCGAAGAAAATAAAAAACAAAAGAGCATCGGCGTTTTGGTTAGTAGTCCTATAATAAAGTGGCAGTGTGTCTAGAAACACCTAAAAACAAAGTGACGTCTTTGAATTTTCATTACTTTCTAATCACAGAAAACACATTTTAAGTAGTTTTTTCAATCTTTTGAGTATTAATAGAAATTGAAGTGAGCCTTTTGAGTATTGTTATTCATTGAAGCGAGTGAGTTTAGGTCATAATGCCAGATCTGACTGAATTGCATGTCTCCCGAGCTATCGCTTTGCTTGAAGAGGGTCGAACTATGCGTTATGTAGGAAATGATCTAGGAGTAGCCCCTTCTGTTATCTACAGACTTTGGAAGCGATACCGTGAGACGGGAGAATACTCACGAAGGCGTGGTCAAGGTCGAAAGAGAAAAACTACACGTTTGCAAGATCGCTACATCGTCAACTGTGCTTTACGTAACCGCACCACAACTGCAAGAGATCTACAAAATACACTAAGGACGGCTACTGGTGTAGAAATTTCCGACCAGACGGTAAGAAATAGGTTGTTGGAAGCCAATTTGAGATCACGCCGACCAGTTCGGGCTGTGCGTCTAACAATTCAACATAGACAAGCTCGCCGACAGTTCGCGCAATATCACGCTAATTGGCAACTTCGACATTGGAGGCCAGTGCTTTTTACTGACGAATCACGATTCCGTCTAACACGTTGCGATGGTCGTCTCCGTGTTTACAGACGCCCAGGCGAGCGATACAGTGCAGCAGCAGTCCAGGAATATGACAAATTTGGATGTGGCTCTGTCTGTGATGGTTTGGGGCGGGGTTAGTTTGGACGAGCGCACAGATCTCGTCGTTGTTCCCGGGCGCTTGTGTGCTCAAACTTACATTGAAAATGTGCTCGAAGATCATGTTTGGCCCGCAGCATATGGTATGGGCCCAGATTTTCTTTTAATGCAAGATAATGCCAGGCCGCATACTGCAGCCATCACGTCAGATTACTTACGACAGCAGGAAATCCGTGTAATGGAGTGGCCTACCATGAGCCCTGACCTAAATCCAATTGAACACATTTGGGAATTGCTTGACAGGCGATTTAAAAAAAATACAAATTGATTTTTTTTATTAATTGTAGTAATTAACAAATTAACAAGGTAAAAAATAGCGTACAAGTTAATTTAAATCTAATTTTAGTTTAAGCAATAAAAGGAGAAAAATCTTGTTCCGCTAATTGTTTTGAGCAGTATATATACAAATCTAAAACTTTAGATTTCCGAGACTTAGAGGGAGGGAAAAAGGAACATATGTTAGGAATTTAATTCTCATTAAATTATTAAGTTTCGAAAATTAATACAAATTATTTTTTTATTTTTATTTATTTCTTCGATAATAAAAACACTCGGAAATTTTAATTTACAATTCGTCATTTAAGATTACAATAAATAATTTTGCATAAAATACTAATATTTCATAAATTCTCTTTACGAAATTATAATTTTAAAAATAGAATTTCTATAAGGTAATTTGCCCATCTCTCTCTCAATCGGTCTCAATCGCTCTCTCCCTTTTCTTCGACAAAAAAGCTGCACATCTTCGTGACGTTTCATCCGTAAAAATGTTAACCTTATGCGCCTAAAGAAGTTTCACTTCAAAAAAATCGCGGAACATTTATTGTTCTATTTTCGATGCATAAAATAAGAAAAAGAAATGGTAATTGCGTTATCATAATATCGTGAAATAATTACACTCACTCCAATCTTACGACGTACGGAAGAGATTCGCAAAATCCTTGAAGACAAAATAAAATCTTAGTTACATCATCGTGGATGTCTGGATTAGAAACCAAATAAACAAGATTTCCCGAATGTATTTTTATTACGGTTATAAAAATTATTAATAATAAACATGTATGTTAAATTCGATTAAAATGATTCTCTCCTGATTTCGTATTTATTATTTAAGCGTGTTTTGATAAACTTTTTATATCAATGTTGCTTAGTCAAATGTGATCAAATTTTCCCATTTATTTATTACCACATAATTTAATTTAAATCATAATATATTACATTTGAAAACCAACTGTGGTGTCTAGTAATGTTAATAATTAAAATGTCGAAGTTGAATGTAAAATTAAATCGCGTGTTTTGTTGTGATTGCTGAATAGCACTCGAAACGTCAACACTTATAAATCAATGAAATGAATTTGAATTTATATTCGTTAAAGAGGTTTTATTTAAATATGTTTCACGTAAACCCAAGACAATGTTAATACAGCTAAAACATGCTTTAAAATGTTGTTAAATTACGCTGAAATTATATTTAAAGTATATAAATACGTTGCTTGAACTATTGGTGTATGTAAAGTTGTTTTTAGGATTTGGGGGTTGAGTCTGCAGATGAATTTACTTAAGTTTAAAGCGAGAATTTTGAATCAAATCGAAAATCCTGGATTGGTCACTCTATCTTACTATATATGAGTGGTAATGGCCGATTGAAGTGGCGTTACAATAGGGTGGCAGGGCTGGCAAAATGCCACGGGCCCCCGACCCAAGAGATATTACGTTCTATGGCTGAATGTGAAGTCACCAATACGCATTGGGCTAGTGGGGACTACAGACCATTCCTTCTTGCCTAAGAGAGGAGGCCTTTGGCCATTAGTGGGACATACACAACGTGTAATTGAGTACGCTGAAAATCTCGAAGTTTATTAAAATTAAACTGAGTAGGGACGATTTTTACTGATAGGGCCCCATCAAAAGAATTGCCACGAAAGAAGATTTGCCACGGGCCCCAGATGGTAAAGTTACGCCACTGGCCGATTGACATGAAATGATAAAACGTGTCTGTCAAAAGGATATCTGGGATACTTCTCAGTTCCTTCTAAATAAATCATCGTGGAAATATCTATATCCTAATTATGATCATAGAAGAAGAATAATTCTTAAATAACTCGTCTAAATATTTTAGCTCATAGAATATCTCTTGTTATACAGGGAGCGTCTTAGTGCAGTATTTGAGGTGGTAACTGTTGACGTGCTGGACTCCCAGGATGCAGCTCACTTGGCTCTGCTGCAGCGGCCAGAGCTGGGCATCACCTTCACGAAGATACACTGTTGGAATCTAACCCAGTACGAAAAATGCGTCTTCCTCGATGCTGATATACTGGTAAGATTTTATGTTACTTGAGAGAAGTATGAATATTTAATTTCTTTAATTAATTTTGTGTAAGTATACCTTTTTTCACGTATTAATCTTAGAGAAAATTTAAACGCCCCATGTTCCACTTTCGTATTTAAAATCGATTTTATAATACACAATTTAATAATCAGTAATTTGGCTTGGATACTAGCGTAAAGAAATCGGCTGTAGAACGTTGCAAAAAATGTTATATTCCTGGAAGTATGAAAATAAATATACTAGGTTAGTGTGTCACATTTTAAATGTTACAAATCAGTCAAAAGATTCTTAAAAACATGTAAGTATTATTTTGATACACTATATTTAAATAACATTCAAAAATTTATTTAAAAATAAATAATTATTTGCTATTAACACTTAATAAGATTTATATACTATATGAAACGATACAAAATAATCAACTTGTTTAATAACCTAAAAAATATAGATTTTTATGTACAAACATTCGTAATAAATATTCAATTGAAAGATTTTCTGACAGCGGTCCTTAGAGTAGTGCATTATCTGTACTGATAGATTAATACAATAGATAATAAAGCTACGAATTTTCAAAGATTTGTTTGTGGAAGCAAATAAGGCTTGAACATTATTTTGATAGGATCTTTGGTGAACGTATTTAATTTAAAAATAAAGACTTAGACGTGGCTTACATATTTTAATGTATTACAATAATTTTGTTTTTATTGCATTTTCACAGTCAAATTAATAATGAAATTTGTGTTTCGCAGTTAAAATTTTTAACTCAGGATGTTTGCTTCATTTTCTAGATCGTAGACCTGAAATATATAGACCAATCAATTTAAGATCGAAGTCATAAAGCTATTTCTAATGTTCACAAAGTCAATGTTAGCGAAACACGAGACAGCGCCCCAAATATTTTTTCTAATTATTGGACGCGTTCCAAATCACAAATTCCTGTTCCTAGCCATTAAAATGTCAAACACGTCGTCAAGTGTTTAAAGTTTTTATAATTTCCTTTACAAATATTTAATTTACATCTGTCATTTACTGGCAATTATATGTTAATATTCATTTGAAAACGCAAGTTTACGCGGATCGGTCTGTGAAATTCTTACAATGGCGATCATTATGATTTATTGTATCCGAGACATCAAATATCGGTCAAGCTAGTCTGCAAATTTGTTATCCAAAAGCGCCAAATATGTAATACAAGTAATTCAAAAGTCTTTAATTCACTTTGTTTGTACTTAACACTTTTGTCCCCTTCTTTAAGGGGAGTGCCCTTAAAGAAAGGGACAAAAGTGTCAAGTAAACATTAGTTTGACTTATATCATCAGAATATATTCTATGACTAAAGATTTTGAGAAAGAGCCGTGCCCGCGAGTGGCGGTTTGCCGACATGTCATAGACAGATAGTATGAAATTGGCATTTTGTATGGGAGGAACAAAAATTAGATATTTTTAAATAGAATATATTTAATGAATGTAAAAAAAGTATGTACTATTGCTATCTATGCACTTTTGCCATCTTATAGGTAGTTCATTGATCCATTTACTAAAAAAACCATTTGGACGGGAATCAATGAAGGCGGTCTCGACTGCCCCATCAGAGTTGAATTTTTTACTTTGCAAGAAGTTATCCAAATTTCTAAAAAAATGGTAATCTGGTGAAGGTCTGGGGAGTACGGTGAATGTCTTAGACATTCCAATTGAAGCTCCGCTAATTTGATAGCAGTCTGTTGTGCAATGTGTAGTCTAGCGTTGTCGTGAAGCAAGTGGTCTAGAGCGATTGACCAGCCTTGGCGGTTTAGCAGCTAGCTTTTCCATCATGGTTTGCAGTTGCTGACAATAGACATCTGCCGTAATAGTCTGGCCAGATTTAAGAAAGTTATAGTGAACGACCCCGGTAGTCCACCAAACGCTCACCAGTAACTTTTTCGGTGTGAATTTTAGCTTGGGGCAGGTGACAGGGGCGCTTCCGATTATTGTACAGGATCCACTATTCATCACAGGTCATTATTGTGCCGGTTGAGTAATGTAACTGTTAGCGGAGAGTTTATTGCCAGTTCTCCTCTTCCGTTCTACGCACTTGATTTGAAAACTGGCACTAAATGTAAAATTAGAAGCATTAATATCTATTTCTTTACTGACAAGTCATAAGTGTACAATGTGTTACCTATATGATTAAATGATTTTTGAATTAGAATTTGACGTAGTAGTCGACGCGCGTTTCATCACCTTTCATCTTTTTTACCTTACCAATTTGCTATAATTGGATTAATACAGTTTTATCGCTAACACCGCTGCCTGCAGCTAACTCAGACGTAGTTGATGGATCCGCTTCATTATCAACTTTGGTCTCCGGCCGTCCACGGGACTTGTTCTGCAGGTCGAAATTTCCAGAACGAAAACGTTGGAAGTTAAAACGAAAAATGCACTGTGTTTTCTTTTGCGAGACCGCCGCCATACAAATCATTAATCCTTCGAACCGTTTCAGCACTGGTGCCACGGTGGAACTAGTACTAGTAAATAGCGCGATATTTCATGTTTCCCATTTTATAAATAAAACGAAACTAAACAATTTTTAAGAAAATAAAAATAAAACGGGAAAATTAAATTAATAATGGTTTTCGAATTTGAATCTGTAATAATTGAATTTGGAATTCCTAACCAAAGAAGAGATAATTCAGGGCAATGTGGCCAGTAGGTACGACAAAACAAATATGAAAGGGCTTAATAATAAAAAAATCACGACATAGATGACGATGATATGAGTATTAAATATAGTATAAACCACAACATGGACCATCAAAAAATACTATTTATTTTATTTTAATGATATTTAATATAACTATTATGCACATTAAACAATTGGTATATACAAAAATTTGTAAGTTGGCAAATATCAACTTTGCAGTCATTTAATAAAAATACTATTCAATAAATGAACGAACAGAATCCATTGAGCAAGGTACTTAGTTTTTATCGCGGGTTATTATGTCAAATGAAGTTCCGATAAAAGTATAATCGATAAATATTTTGAGAATATCACGTTTACTGTGGAAGGTATTTTCGTGAATGTTTGGCCTTGAGAAACGTATTGATAATATTGTCTCCGATCGTTGGATTTATATTAATCCCTGAACGTCGAATTAAAAATATTACCACAACAATGATATACAAAATAATGTATTACGTAAATAGTCACACAAACACTACGCACATAGACACACCAATATTTATAAGAATTATTCTAGGGTAGCCCGTTCATTGTAATCTTTGAAATGACTTAAACATATGCGGCGATGTAACATGCGAAAATATTAAATAAATATAGAATACTGGATGACCCGGTGAACTTCGTATCACATATATTTCTGAAAAATTTAATTTGCACGTTTTTTTTAGATCTGAAACAGATCTGTTTTGTATAACACTGCGTTCAAAACAGATTTGGGACCTCATACGATAGCTATGAAACACAAATTTCTGAACGTACCTAAAAATATTTGACAAGCAAGTGACATTTTTATATTTCTAGAAAAACTAAAGACATGGCAATAAATTGAAGCTAGAATTGGACAATTGAATTATTAAGCTTATATTTTTTTTCATAATATACATGTTTCTTTTTTACACCTTCCCTGACCTTCCACAAATATTTCAAGATCAAAATTAGCCAAATCGGTCCAGCCATTCTCGGGTTTAATAAATATGTATAGCAATTCATTTTATGTGCATAGATTTAATATAACATGTTTATTGTCCGATGGATCTTATATATCCCTAGCCATAACTCACATACATACAAATTAATTTAAATGATTTCACAAAATGCTACATTAATTGCACAGTGATACGGTGTAACTGATAGCGATACTGTAAACTTTCGAGACATAAACACATATGATTTAGTATTATCTACCTTTAAAAAAATTGTTTATTAACAATTTATAGTATAGAGCAGTGTTGGCCGTGCGACTCTCATCCCTGAGGTCGTAGATTCGATCCACGACTGTGCACCAATGGACTTTCTTTCTATGTGCGCATTTAACATTAGCTTGAGCGAAGGAAAACATCGTGAGGCATCTGTCTTGTCTTAAACCCAACAAGTCGACGCTATGTGTCAGGCGCAAAAGGCTGATCACACACTTGCCTATTAGATGGACAAATGACCATGAAACAGATTCAGAAATCTGAGACCCAGACCTAAGGTGTGCCACCTAAGTACCACTCATTTTTTTCATGATTTGGACTTGATTGTAGGCGCAAATAGATGAGTATCTAAGGGATTGTCGAATTGTCAATTTCAAATGTTGTCTGTTCGGTTTGATTCTCTGTCTCTACGCAGAGACATTGCGTCTCTATGCGTATTCTACAATTCTACAAAGTGCTCTAAGGACTTGTTTGGATTAATCCCTTCTGCCACGTTTCCGTACGAGCCGTATTTACTCAAAAGTTCATCCGTATCACCTTGACGGCTTGAAGTCTTCCACGGTCCGCTGTATTAGACAGTCGCTGTATCAGATCTTTTGCGAACTAGTGAACTGCGAAATCTTCCCTGGAGATACGACCTCTTCTCTCAAAGGCCGCACCCACTAAAATACGAGGTCCTTGGGCTGCGATGACTGCCCTTTTTAGGCGTAGGTCATTTGCCCCTTTATCCTGTAAAACGAAGATAAGTAGGCACTCATTACATTACCTATATAAAATAAATCTGTTATTATTATTATTTATATCGTTACAGTAAAAATAGGGTTTATGGCTGTTTGGCTGGGTATGCTTTTGTCTGAACGGAATAAATTACAAATTACCTCAAACATGCGGTATGTGCGAACCAATGTGGCTTGCTGTTTCGTAAACATCTACACCGCTGTTGCTACTTGCTCCATGCAGTAACATCTTTCTCGTGGGATTTATTTCCATACAAACTGGAAGAATTACATTCCGTTATATTTCACTGTGTTGTGCTTACAGGTAGTTCAGAATTGCGACGAATTGTTTGAGAGAGAGGAGCTTTCCGCAGCCCCTGACGTCGGCTGGCCCGACTGCTTCAACTCTGGTGTGTTTGTCTTCACACCCTCAGCAGACACCTTCAGTAGACTGATTACATTTGCACAGGAACGAGGGAGCTTTGATGGTAAGCACTTTTATATGTTAATCCTGTGTATCTTTATTAAACATTACTAAGTTTGTTATACTTAGGTTTTATGAACAAGGAACAATTTCCAGTGATTTTGCATAATTCGACCAACCACGTACGCCTGAACTACTTAGAGCACTTGATTGTATTGATATGATATTTTATTGACATTTTTTGTAGGAATTACGTTTTTGCTAAGCAATTTACATTTTTAATTAGGGAGAAGGGATGCTTACGAGTGCATCGCCGGCATTAATCTTAACTAAAAGATGCTTTAATGTATATTAATATAAAATAATGTTTTTTCTAGGCGGCGACCAAGGTCTACTTAATTCATTTTTCTCCGACTGGTCCACTGACAACAACAAACGACTGCCTTTTCTCTACAACGTTACGTCGGCCGCTTTTTACTCATACCTGCCCGCGTTGAAACAGTAAGTTTCTCTTATTTGTAATACTTCAGAATTTCTATACCAGTTTGATCAAAGAATTTTATCATATAAAAATAAAATAATGTTAATGCTAAAATAATGTTATTAATATTTGGTGGGGATAAGATTTCCGCGTTTTTTTAACCTAAAACACCTCCTAGGAAATATCTAATTAAGAAAAAGGTTCTATATTCGACTGCGTTTGTAAAAAAACTCTTACAACCGTAGCTTCATATTATTATTATTTTTTTTTTTTAAAGACAATTCACACCAATTGACCCTGTCCCGTGCTAAGCTGGTGAAGCTCGTGTTATGGGTACTAGGCAACGGATATACATACATATTATAGATAGATAGACATATAAATACATATTTGAACACCCAAGACCTAAGCACAACACCAAATGCTCATCACATCGATTCGTCTCAGCCGGGGATCGAACCCGGGACCCATGGATTCGCAGTCAAGGGTATTGACCACTAGACCAATGAGTCGTCAAGTCGTTATACAACATTACTAGAAAGATAGAACGAAGAATACATAGAAAAAGTCATAAAATTCCAAATATATCAATGCGAATATAGCGTTTGCCCATTATCTAATATATAAAATTCTCGTGTCACAATGTTAATTACCATACTCCTCCGAAACGGCTCGACAACATCTATTTTTCATCCCCCTAAATCTTAAAAATGTAAAAACAAAACTTTATTAATTTTTTTATGATACAGCATACCAAAATACATACGACCCTTAATTTTTATCACTCTACGATCAACCCCTATTTTTTATTATAGTAGATAGTTATATTTATTAAACTACAAAAAGTTTCCTAGAAATAATATACATGGCAAAATGACGTTTGCCCGGTCAGCTAGTTTTATATAAAGACATTATCCTAAACTCAATTTATATTATTCTTCCTAAGCTTTTCAGTTGCGATATTATGAATATCAATTCTGGACCCGTATCCTTAGATTCAAAACCGAAATTCAGCGCTAAGTATGATTCTCAAACGTAACGCTGACATATTACCCTCTCACTAAGGCAAGGGCTGTATGCCCTTGAAGCAAATTCTGTATCAACCCTTGCTCTTGGCCTTCTGTATCGCTACATAGGTAATCAAATCGTGGTTTGACAGGTTAGAACTTTAGACACGTAATAGGTAGTATTGTCTTTTATTGACATAACTTTTAGACATAGAAACCACTTTTTTAACGGATTTGAAATTATGTTTTACTATAAATTTTCAATTATTTTACATAATTTTAAATTTAACCGACGTTTCGCGTGCTACTGCCAAAAAATACGTGCTTTTTTCTTTTTTACGTACTGTGATACTTTTTGACATTCAACACCTTTTGTCTTCAGTCACCGTGACCACGCACGCGAAACGTCGGTTTAATTTAAAATTATGTAAAATAATTGTAAATTTATAATAAAACATAACTTCAAATCCGTTAACAAAGTGTTTTTTACACGTAATAGGTCTATAGGTCTATATATAACAAGAGCTGCTATGTTTAAGAAACTTATGTTTCGCTGACAGCTCAGCTACCCCTTGCAAAATCAAGTCCGTGATCAAATACACAGCTCACACTTTCACATGGGAATCTGTACCGCGGTTGTAGATGTCTAGTGTAACCTTTTAACACGGTGGTTGAACCTTTTCATACGTTGACCTCATGAACTTGATTCTCAGGAGATAACGAACTCGTTTCTATTTCAATTTTTACGTAAATTATACTATTAACAGAAAATATAATTCAGGATGTTTTGTCTAGCGAGATGATGAATTTCATTGCCATTTTACAATTTGATGTACGTCTCACTTCCGCATACGATTGGTTAATATTTTTTTTGAGTTCACAAAAATTAATAGAAGTCTATAATAAGATGGAATTACGACTGATACGCTCAAATAAATAGTTTTTTTATTGAATTATAATTTATTAATTTAATCATGCTACATACGTATAATTTGTATTTACAATTTGCTTTACCTACAAAGCAATAACAAAAATTATTAAAAAAAAAAAAAAACAAATTTAAAAAGTTTGGTCCCAGTGGCATACCTTTAAAGTTGGCAGCATTTCCTCGCTGTATTGCGACACTTATTCGTTAAGCCAGGAAAGCACCAGCTCAGGCGTCAACTTAAATCTTTAATAAGCGCCTGTGCCTAAAATAACTAATGTATTATATCCTTCACATAGTAGTATTTTACTTAAAACATGTTATGTGTAATGTTTACGTAAGTAAAGTTCTGTTAAATAAATTTCAGTTTTGGGCAGAATTTGAAAATCATCCACTTCATCGGGCCAGCCAAGCCTTGGCTTCAACATTATAACTTTGAATCTCAAAGCGTAGACGCACCAGAGCACTTAAAAGGTTTCTTACAAGTTTGGTGGAATCTCTTTACTTCCCAAGTTCATAATCAGCTAGACGAAGCAATGGTAAGATTTATTATTTTAAATTTAGTATATTGTTTTGCTGATTAAAAATATGCCATTTTTGTAAATAATCACGAATGATTAATGAAACACTATATAACTCCAACAAGTAGTTAAATTTCCATATAATTCATATACTTTACATAAGTTATATGTCTAGGTCTCAAAATAGAATCTAAAAATATCTTGCTTCATGTAATACGAGAAATCTTGACATCGTTTCCGATGGGTATCAATTACATTTCTGTATCAATTGCCACAATGTAAAGTGATCTCTTATTAAACCGCAATTTCTTGATCTCACACCACAATGTCGATGTCTTTTTTGCCATTTCAATATAACAAATCCATTTACATTCAACCGTTTGACCTGAACACACAATGTTTTCTAAGCATTTCCAAATGGATTCTAGTGAAGAGGTGAGAAATACATTAGTGATTTCCTTTTTATAGGCTTTGTAAAATATTCTTTTTCTTTGCGCTTAGCCCTAGTTTGCCATACGTTTGCCATATTTTCCTAAAATACTAACATTCTCTTACTCACCTGATTTGTTCATTTGCACGAATTAGTTAGTTTTTAGGTTGTGGGTGGTGTTAGTATTTTGGCGAAAATATCACCGTTTACTAAACACACAAATAAATTACCGAGTTTTGATGAAAATAAATTAAATTGTGTGTTTGGGACATGGTTATTTTTTTGCAATATTTCACTAATCACAGCTTGAATTAAGCTTATGCACTAGTTTACTTGCGCGAGCTTTTTTCAAGAACGCATGCAACTTGTTTGTTTCCTTTAATCGATAGGGAAATCTAGAACAACCTTCGGAGAGTCCAAGAGATGTTGGAGACGTAAGCGACCTCCTACCAGATGGTGAACAAAGATTAAACTATGCAACATATGACCCAGTTCCTGACCCTACATCTGAATTTCCATGGCATCATCCAGATAAACAAATGGAAGAACGAGAGTCACTGGATTTACATGTACCAGAAATTATTGATCCATGGGATTTCTATCGGGGAAACATTCTGCCAATACCAGAACAGTCCAAAATGTCCAGTGGAGATTCCCCAGATCTTAATGAAGTGCGAAGAATTGCGTGGGAGCAAACACATTATCCTATTAAAGAACATACGAATGAAAATAATAATTACGATCAACACATTCATCATCACAAACCTTTTAACAGCAGTAATCGTGATAACTATCATGAATCTAATAATACCAATACAGATCACCTCGTTGCACATAAATCAGATAATATTCACGATACACAAAACTTCCACAATCATTATGTAGAACCAATTCATAATAGCATAGATTATTACAATTCAAACCAAGAGCCTCACGTCAATCATTTACAAAAAACTATACACACAGAAAACAACAACTTTACTCATAAATCAATGAAAACCATTACTGACGTACCATCGGCTAATCAACACGTCTATTGTGTTCATATGGATCATCAAAAGCCAACCCAAAAATTATCAAAGAATGAAGATAATTCCTTAAATGGTGAAGTATATGAGGAAGACGATACAAATGAAGATATCTTACCAAGGCATCCATACGATGGCTATTACTTAAGACACCAAGTGTCAATAGATTCGCGAGGAAAAAAGCTATGTTCTCATGAAATACCGCCTAGTTCTCCTTCACCACCTGAGAGTCAAGATGACTATGAAGATGCGATCGTTCCAACAGAAAATGGTTTTTGTATGGAAGCAGAAGCTGAAGTAAGTTATTTTTAAGAAATTTATAAACTCCTTGGTATGTAAAGTATGTAATTATTCGCTCCGTCGTCCACGTTATTCTTTCACCTATATCTGTACTGTATATTTGATAGATCTTGACACGCTTTCTCGCATGTTTTATCTAATTGCACGAAAGTAGATAGTGCATAATACCTTACTGTTTTATTAAAACCATAATTTTTATTTGAATGTTTAAGTATTTGATGAAATAGTTCCGTAATAAGACACTTTAAATTTTTCAGACTGGCGTAGCTGGAAACTTAGCGCGAGTTCAGCCTGGCGTACCTTTGCAGCGTGAAGCGTTAGATGAATTGTCGCGCCGTCAGGGCTGGGAGTCTGGTAACATTGACTACATGGGCGCTGACTCTTTTGCAAATATTTGGGCAAGAATTTCTCAAACTTTGAGTGAAGGCTCTCAAACTACGAAACAGTCTTCACCTCCTAAAGATTCTCCTTCGGTAACAGAGGCACAAGAACCAGTTCAAGACTTAACCGAAAAAGTGGCATCTGTATCTCTGGATGAATCAAATGATATACCTGTACCTGCAAGAGAAGCTGCTTCAGCTGCAGGTAACACGGGTGAACCTGTTTCAGAATCTTTACCAAACATCCAAGTAAATGTTCCTGAAAGTAGTCCTGAATCCGTCCTTAGTCTAGAATCTAAACCTACTGTTACTGAAACCGATGCAAAGACCGAAACATCGGTACCAAAAATTACAGTGCCTGTTGTGGAACAATCAGTAGATAGTTCTACTGAAATACCTATTGAAAACGTACCTGTTGTTGCTCCTCAAACGGAAATTTCTGATACATCCAAAATACCTTCAGAACCACTTGTTTCCTTAGAGTCGCATGAAACACCCGTGGAACCCTCTTCTCAAGTGCATGATATTGAGACCAAAAATGAAAATGAAATTCCTAAAATAGATGTGGAGTCTCCTGAAGTGCATGTTCCGGAAACTGCCTCTGTAGCAGAAACTGCACCTGTAGCAGAAACTGCACCCATAGCAGAAACTGTATCAGTTGCACTAGCTGAATTATCAGATAGTCCAAAGCATGAAACTGAATTGCATGAATCTAAAGAGGTACCAGATAATGGTAATGACAAAAAAGACGCGAATCGAATGCTGCGACCGATGTACCTAATATCGAGACTGAATCGCATGAATCCCATCCAGAACCAGAATTATCTGTAGTTCCTGCATCTGAGCCTGCATCTTTACCCCTGCCAACTGAGACTGAAAAAAGCGAATCAAAACCTGAAATTACTGAACCACTAGTGGAACAAGTAACGGCAGCACCTAAAGCCAACGAATCTAAGTTAGAAACTTCATCAGAAATCCCGTCTGATATCCCTGCATTAGATCCTAAACCAGTGACTCCTGTCCAAGAGAAGCCGGATACCGACTCTGTGCCTGAAATCCCGCAACAGGAAAAATCTTCTGAGATAACGGAAAAGTCTGTTTCCGACAGTCCCCCGTTAGCTAATACTCCATCTACAGAAGAAGTACCTAGTGTCCCGGCGGCCAAATGTGAGTAAAAACATGTATCGCGCCAACTAAGGCTAATTGAACGGCTTTGCACTCAATTCACACCGATTTTAATTTTGCAGTTTTCATATTCTAAACTAATTTATTCGTTTTCATCGTTTCTTGGATGTTGTAAAATACCCCTATTACATCCCTAGAAACGAGATTTTTTTCTTTTGTGCCGTTTGTGCTTTTGGATTTGTTACCTATACTGAGCATTCGTTTCAAAATTACGTTATTATTTCACCCAGCTCTCGAGGAGGCAGCCCAAGAGACGCGGCTTTGATACAGGTAATAACTTATTGCACTTGGACCCAACACAACTTTGCAATTTCATATTTCATTTCTCCCACACATCACTAGCCTAAAATTTTTGCAACATTAACGAAAGCGTCATTAAATATAAATTCACCCGTCCTTGAAATCACTTTAGATATCTACGTAAATTTGGCAGATGTTGGGTAGCTTCCAAGTGAGTGCAATATGTAGGAGCGGTCAACGTCATACGTTCTAATTTTGACAAACATTTTTTACATCTAATTCGTAAGCTTTATCAAGTCGAAATTATCTTTTTCCTGGATTACGTTGACATTGTGCTTAGTTTTAGTTCACTGTATATTAATAATCTTTTAGTTTGTTTTTGATTTTTGCTTCCCATCTTCACTATGCAAGGAAGTTATGGCGATAGGGTAGAATCCGTAGAATCTTTATAATTTAAAGCATTCGATCTTCATAATTTCCTTGTGGCGTCTGTCTTAACCTGACTATTTCTCTGTATTAATCTGCTTGCATTCGAATTAACAACGAGGCTATGTTTTCCCTCGACTTGTTCCAGGCCCTAACCGAGCTTGCTCTCTAATGTGACCGCCATACTAACGACACGTCTAACTGAAAGAGAGAATAAAGGCGGGAATAAATTGGTTGTGTAGTGGAGGAGCGTCGCAGGCCGGCGGCCAAACTGCAGCTGAAGCCGCCTTCTGCCGCCGACCCCCTGCCTACACCTGACAGCGAGTTTGAAGACGCCGCATCTCTAGCACAGTCCATCATTGCCAGCGAATTGCGTTCTCCAACAGTCACCTCCGCCTCACCACCTGCTGGTCCCACTTCTCCACAACCGCAAACACAACAAGAACGACTCGATGTCAAAAAACCTGACGTTCCTACGCCACCAGTAGGCGCTGTGTCTCTGTCACAAATTGGCGTCAAACCTAAAACAAAGCCTACCACAGCCGCTCAAATAGAATCTTCGGTATCCGAAAAGACTGAGGCTGAACCACCCAAGAAGAAAGTTGTTAAGAAAGTAGTGAAGAAAGACAGTGCCTCTAGTGGTGAAGCGCCCGTTCCCCCCCCGCGAAAGAAAGAAAAGAAACCCAAAGAGAAATAAATGCTCGCGACACGCTTAAAGTTCCTCAGTGCCATAACGTATCTAGCCTTATGTTTATGTTTTATGTATTGTGTAACGTAATACTTTATCATAGATATTAATCAAACGACACGTCCATAATGTTATAATTTTTATACGACTTTTAATGTGCAATTTTATTTAACAATGATTTATATTAATTGGTACCTAATTTTATAGTTGATAATTAATAACTGTAACCAAAGTAAAAAAAACATGTTTATAAACGTTATTTATTAATTCTACAAAATTTTCTATATTATAATCTATTTTGAAAGAATGTTTTTATTTATTTCAAACCTTTTGGTTAAAATCTTACGATAAATATTCTTAAAAAGGTAATATGTGACACTATAGTGTTATAGTTCTTCAGTGTAGCAGTGCCATCTAACGATGATACATTTAAACTTATAAGAATTAACTTCTCATATAAATAGCTCTAGGTAGTTTAACCATGGATACACAGATGGCAGTAAAAATCTAAGAATCTGTGATATCCATTGTCAGCCTTGGGTATTGCAAAGTATTAATATTCTTAATGGAATTTTAAGGAAACAGATTTTTCAATTGACAACATTTGGAATAAGACATTATTATTGTAAATATAATTCATAATGGCTATATTACTCCTTTCCTTTTGTCTGTTGTCATTTTATGTGTTAACTGTCAGTGTCAATTCAGTGCTGCATTTGTACAAGCAAAAATAGAATTTTTACCATTTAGTTTAGTTTTGATCACACTTTTGGGTGGTGGTGTCGGTTTCATACTGTAATTTAGCATTTCATTTTGATTGTTTACAATCGTAATTTCTTGATTTGGAGTAGTTTAAAGGTTTGCTTTTTTAAATCTGTGGACTTTCTACGTAAAACAGTGCAGTTCAGGTCTTTGTATCGTTATTGTATTATAATTTATACGTTATTCGAGTGTATCTTGAATCGTTGAGATCAGAGAACGCAATGTTGGACGGTGTTTGAAAATGTGAATCAAAATGTGCCGGTGAATCTTTCATTCGAATCTAAAGGACCTTGTTTTGAGTGAAAGACATTACGAAAAATGAGGTTTTTGGCGTTTCTACTTTTGCTTCCAGCATGTTTTGCACATCTCAACGTCTATCTTAGTAGTGCAGAAGTATTGAGATTATTGGGTAAGTAACAAAATAGTGAATTATTGAGGAATTGCAGATATTGTCTCTTGATATTAAGTAACAATATAAAAACTCTTATTTAATCATAATACTTACACAACATTCTGTTTTAATCTAATTCCATGCTTTAAATATATAAAATAAATGAAATATTAAAATATCTATCTACCTATACACCATTGATAAATTTATAAAGTATACCTGTTTAACTTAAGATATTATAATGTAGTATTTATATAGTAAAGGTAGATTTTGTCCAGTTATTTATTCAGTTGATTTATTTTATACTATTCCAATGACATAAAACTACATTAACTTTACAATATTAATATGTGCTTAGGTATTGAAAATGAATTTTAAAATTCACCGATTCAAAATGTGTTGAATCAACAGAGTTACTGCATTATATTCTTAATTTTGTAATACAATCTTATATTTTTTTAAGTTAAATCAAAATGATTTTTCTTGAAAAGGCAATGTAGTAGTAGTTATTTAACCGATCATGTATATTGCCATCCAGTTATCATTGGCAAGGCTTGATAAGGTTGATATCGGTTGATAAAGATGATTTAGGATTAAATATTGTATCAGTCTTTATAAAAAAATCCTTGAAGCATTGAAACATTTTTTATGATTACCTGTTTAATTAAACTGAATTAATTAAATACTGGAATAATTTGATTTTTCATTATGCATCTGGTGTTGCTGGGTTAAAATGGTATTTCTATTTGCTTAGTTCTTTCAAGACCACTATACAAGAATTAGAGTTCTTTATGAAATTGATTTTTTTACCAAAGATAGCCAGATGAAAATCTTTTCATAACCATTGTTTATAGAACTAAATATAATTAATATCTGGAACCCACTGGAACTTGGCATATTTGCTTAGTTTCAAATACAACCTTAACTAGAAAGATAAATGCATAAAACCTTTAATTAAAATGTAGCCCTTAAATTAACACACTCTATTAGACATAGTTCCATGTTACATGCTGACATTGTAAGCTTTTGAAGTAAAATAACCTAACTAAGCAGTTTGATAGTTTTTGAGACCATTACAAGTTCCAAATGATAAAATCTTTTTGTAAAGAGAATTAAATTGTTATTCATATAATAATATATATATTTTATTCATCAATAAAATATACTGCATAAAAAGTATTAAAAAAGTTCTTCCATACAATGTTAATCCTAATTTTATTTCACGCCAATTTTAGTCAAAAAGGCGCCGATCGTTATCTATGGTCTGGTCTTAGTTTCCCGTTTTATTATTCGAAGGTGACAAAATAAGCTTTTCTCAAAATGCGTCCTGTGGTGAACAGCTATTAAGCGATTAGCTCGTCGAGTTTTGACCTTATGTCTACTGCGAAAGGCTTAAAATGGATTGAAATATGTTAATAGGATTAGTATGAGCTTACATTTCGTTTTAAAATATTCACAAGACGTTAGAAGAATATTTGTTTAACAATGTTGAATATAAATTAATTATATTATAAAACAAGCAATGTTTATTTATAATGTATTTATGAATACTTATATCGACAATAAATTTACGGGTCTATTTTTGAATTCAGTAATAATTTTAAATACATAGTTTATTAAATATTTCCAAGTGTAGCCCATGTTTATTTTCTGTAGTTACTCGTATTTGATTGATGAAGTTGATTTGTTATCCTGAAAGGTTCCTTTTAAATTTACTAATCATTATCTCAAAAATGTCTTTGAACTGTCAAATTAGTTTCGCGTGCAAATTTCGCTTAAGTCACATGAAGTTGCATTTATGGCCAGTGGCTTATATCTATGAAAGGAATTACTATTTTGATTCGTCAACGTAAACCCCAAAAAGGGGTATAAAATGTATATTTTATTATATGTAGCAATAATGCAAACGTAACAAATAGTTTTTACAAATGTTGCCCGTTAAGTCAAAGGGTTAAATTAAAAACGTAGAGAATAGGTAAAACTTACGAGCAGGTATCATTAGTTTTTTGTCGCCTTTGACAAACATCTATCTCTGTCACAATGGCCATCTGCCCTTTTGTTTAAATTTGAATCTATTCAACTACTACGGAGAACTACGAGTTACGACTCGTCAACAATGTCTGCTCCACTTACAGAGTCCTTTACCACTTCAATTGTCGTTATAAATCTTTCTTAATGACATTATACATTTGGCTCTAAAGATTTGTAAGTTAACATTCTTTAGATTTAGTATTGTCTTTGATTAACATAACCTTTACACATTTAAAGAAAAAACTTTTTACCGGATTAAAGTTATGTATTATTATAAATTTACAATTATTTAACATAATTTTAAATTTATCCGACGTTTCGCGTGCTTTACAGCGTGCGTGTCAAACGCCTGGGATCCAATAATATCCAAATTAAAATCTCAAAAAGAAAAACAATCCGCGAAAATAGAGGACACCGTGAGCCATTTTTGCCAAAACCATCTTTTAGTCGATACCAACTCCGGGGAAATAAATACAGATAATGCAACTTTCTCTGCAGCTGTGATACTTTTTGACATCCAACACCTTTTGTCTTCAGTCACCGTGACCACGCACGCTGTAAAGCACGCGAAACGTCGGATAAATTTAAAATTATGTTAAATAATTGTAAATTTATAATAATACATAACTTTAATCCGGTAAAAAGTTTTTTCTTTCTTTAGATTTGTTTAAGACAATATTTTACTGAAATACGAATAAATCGCCTTGATATTCAACTCTAAGCTTAAGATAATTGCTTGTTGCAATTTTTATCTCCTTCTTTCTTGGTTTGAATACAGTATAACATCTACTGCCTATATTAATTTTGCGTTAATTTTTACTTTAGGAATAGATTTATGTTAGTCCTAGTTAGGCCACATTCATACGAGAATAAGATGGGTTTTCGTTATTTTCCTAGAATTCGTTTCAATGTATGGTTTGTAATAACAAAAAAAACTTAGTAGGTTCTTTATAAATTTTAACGTAATACAATTTTTTTGTATAAAGCATTCGAACAAGCCCTTGTAAGCGTTTGGTAGCCCTATTCATTAGAATTATATTTTTATGTCGTAAATAGGATCTTAATAAAATCTCCTTACGCTGATATAATCGCGAATTTATTACAATACAAGAGCCTCTAACTTCGTTTTGCCTTAATATGATTTTTTTACTTAGCCTACCTTTTTCCTACCTACCTACCAACATAATATGGAACCTTTTGGTATGCTACCCCATACTGACTATTCGCTTTTCCAGAATAAAAACCTAAGTACTAAATAAAACTCAATTTTTATTTTTTTCAAAGTTGTTTCTCTCCATAAAATCCATCCTCCGAGATCAAGGAATACATATAAAAAACTCGAATGAATCCAGCCGTCTTCGAGCTTTGCGATTAGCAATATATTTTTCGACTCATTTTTTTAATACTAATAATAATAATATACATTTACATAATTTGACTTTTCGAGTAGTTACCGTCTTGTCTACAACAAAAAGCAATCAATGAGTGATGTACAAATTTATATATTCCCTGACATATTGAACAGTAACATTTGTAACTCCTTATATTCCAAATCATGGGCCAAATATAATAACAAAGTTATAACAGGTGATTATAAAATGGTAAGGAGATCTTTTTAAAAAGTTTTAAATTTCGTTAAAAAAATATGTAATACAATATGTATGTGTAAGGTTTCATCGTAGACACGCTAGCTTTAAACATCCGTTGTGTGGCCTATAAACACATATAAGTTGATTTTTGTGTCTTAACGGGAAGGGTCCGCAAATAGGTCTAGGTTAGTGTTTCCCAACGGGGGGCAATTTGATCATAAGAATTTTAGGAAGGC